GACCAGGTAACAGACTGAATGCCTGCTAGTGTCTTCCATTGAGGCTGCTTCTTATGTCGCTGATGTATGTGATGTTGCGCCGTATAGCAATTTGTGATTCCCGCGAGATTTGGCGGGACGCCACCTTTCAGACTTGCGTTGCTGGTTCTGCCAACGGCGTCCCTCTCCTGCTTTGCTATCGGAATGATTCGCTATACTACGAGTTCGTTTACCATCAAAATTACTTCAAAGCTGTTATATTAAGGTAAAAATCTTGCATAGTGTGCCTTTAACTGCATTTATTAAAAAAATCTGATCTAATCTTAGGATAGGAATTTAGCTATGCTTGTTATATATGTTGCTTATAATTTCCTTGGCCATGAATATATCGACTACCAAAACAATTCATTTTGAATTTGATCAACCGTCTGTTCAAATCTTTATTGTAGGCTGATAATTGGCAGAAAACCACAGAAATGTGGGGTTGAATGCCATCTTTTCTTGTCCATTATAGCAAGCAAGCAAGCCAGCCCGTCACAAGCAAAGTGATACAGCTGTTGTCGAAGACTGTGTACATTCTTAACACATACAGCCATTACAGGAAGAGTGCCAATTGAAGACTGAAGGTTACAGTTGCAGTTTGGATTTCTTAAGATAAGATAGGAGGTCTGAGATAGACTGCAACAGAGCCATGAGTTTAATTATTTGTGTAACAAGAAGATAGGATGTTTCTTATCTTTGGAGCATTCAGACATTTAGGAAAGTTTTAATGAGGCATCGGACTATGGACTAAACAATCAATACCCTCGGAAGATACTCAACAGACGTAAAACTGTGTGACCCCTTGGCTCTACTAGACTACATCAAAGTTAAAGGGAGGATCTGCACCAACTCGCAACACACACTCACACACACACATAAAATCTATCAGCATTGAACTGTCCCCTCAGGCAAGAGGACAAAAATACTAAATCATGTGACTAATATACATGCAGATGACTACTAGAGGAACCTCACCACTGCGCATCAGACTGTAATAAATCAAAATACCAACCGAGATTTTCAGATCTCATTTGTCCATAACACCACAATTGCAGATCTGGAAGAAAGCTTTGTTATTGTAAATATCTCAATTAACAATAACCCCAGTAACCACTGGAAATATCTATGGCTCAAACACAGACACATTTTTCAGACCTTTTTCTCCGTTCTCTCAAGCATGTGCAATTGCCTAGTAATACTGGAGGTGACTTTAAAGGTCCAGTGTGAAGGATTTTGTAGCTACTAGCAGTATAATTGCACATTCTTTCACTTCACACTCCCCTTCAAAAGCGCGAAGGAGAAACTACAGTGGCCACAAAATGCATGAAAAACAAACGATAGCCCTATCTAAAGCCAGTGTTTGGTTTGTCTGTTCTGGTCTACTGTAGAAACATGGTGGCCTCAATGGAAGGCGACCTGCAGACCCGTAGATATAAAAGGCTCATTAACCAAAACATAACAATTCTTATTTCCTGGTGATTATACACTAATGAAAACATACCTATGAATATTATATTCCATTTCTGACAACAGATCCTCCTTAATGTTACACACTGGATCTTTCATTGACCCATCAGTAGACAAAATAAAAAACTCAAGCAATAAAGTGCCTGACCGTACCTTCGTCTTGGCAATAGCTGGCGAAAATAACCCCCAACTCCCAAAGAGAACTTATTCCTCTCACCAATTAGCCACCAATATTCATAAATTGACAAATATTAGACTCTCAGATTCATCCCATCAGTGTCCAGGATAGGGATGTGGAATAGAGAGTTAGTTTTTTTAGTAGTTTAGTTATGTTTTATATGTAAAGTTTTATATTTTAATTTTTTCTAATTCTAATTCTTCTACTTGTGTGTTGTGTAAAGGGAGTCGGGCAAGTAAGATTTTAATTGTACGTATAAACCACTGTGTGTTTTACTGTGCATATGACAATAAACCTCTTGAACTGAATTGAAGACAGTCCCTCCAGGAAGTTGTGATTTTGCGATCGCACCAATACGTTTTTTCACCGATTAGTTTTCACCAATCATAGCAGACCCCTGCACAAAACATTGAACCATACATCTAAGCTACAATCTACTACAAGCTACTACAAGCTACTGTGAAATCAGGCATTTTGGTCCGCAGCAATCCTTCAGAAAAAGCCTGCAAAATTCTTGAGAGACTATTTAGAAATAAATTATTCTCCAAAAAGCTCACTAACTCTCCTCTGAGAGACTGGAAAGGTGGTACTAAGAGGAAAACTAATCTCTTTCTTTGTCAGCAAAAAAGAAAGCGAAGGAACAAGAAGCCAAACTGGAAGAGAAAATTGAAGAATTTGAAAACATTAACTCTAGTTACCCATCAGAGGAAAGTCAAAATGAACTTAGGAAATGCAAATGCAAATAAATGAAAACCTAATTCCTAATATACAGGCTGAGACATGCATCACCTGAGTATAGTAATGAATGTCCTGGCAAATCAGATAAAACAAAATCAAGAAAAAACAATGATTCAAGATATCAGAGACTCGGCAGAGAAGCCTACACATTCTCCAGAAGACATAAATAAAATATGGAAATAAGATTGCAACCTGTATTCAACAGAAAATTATACTTACCTTGTGTTCACCTAACCTATTTAATGACATTTATATGATCTTTTTATTTCTCTCTCCTCTTCCTGGCAGATACCCACTTACACAACACGCTTTCATATAGGCACACAAGCACATAAAATACTCACTAATGAAAAACAAGAAAAAATCTACCATATTCAAATCATAACATCTGTCTGTATGTTTTGTTACACCTGTTTGTACTATGTTACACTGAAGGAAAAAATGAGTGGCAGAGAGAGGCAGGCGTTCAATGAAGAACAAATAAGTGAATATAAACAGACAGAGTGATGGGCAGACAGACAGGGAGACAGCAACAGATAGTGTGCGAGAGACAGACTGTTTTGATTCAGTGATATGCAGCTGGCTGGCTCACATGGGAGAGCTTTTCTTCAAAGCCCGGTGGTCTGTCTGCACTGTTTGTACCCAGGCTGCTGCTGCTGCTGCTCTCACACATGATCAACAAACAACCTTTATCTGTGGTTTATATACTGTATGTATAAGTAGTGTGTGAACACAAGTTTGCATAAATCACTGTTGCCCTTTGAACAGAATCTTTACAGCTCTTCTTTCCTGATGTAGCCTGAAAATCCGACTGAATTGCCACTATACAATGGTATATGATGGTAACTCAATCTGATATATACAGTAGGGTATTGGGAAGGAGGTGTCACAGACCAGTTTCACTATTGTACATGCAACCCAATATTACAAGGAATTTAATCCATATTGGATGATATTGCTTTTTTACTTTCAGTGCCAATGCAGGAAGTAGTGTGCCCTTTGTGCATTTGTATTCTGTCACAACCTGAAATTTACGCCAAAATATTTACGCATCTACGTTGTTGACTTAAGTATTTTGTCCTCCAAAAGTCTTCTGACCTGCCTCTTACTGATTGATTTCCGGCCACAGGTTGATGTAGCTAGAAATTCGAGAAGAAGAAGAGAATAAGAGACGAGAGACACCTCTGGGGCGCACAGTGGCACTAGTACAATCACAAGCATTTTCTAAAATGGTTGTGATCAGCCGCAGCACAGCTAGAACGCATTGCGATTGTGCCCAGTAGATTTGGGCCGTTAAGTTTGTCTTTTTGCTAAGTACAACCATGACCTTTCCCTATCCTTAACCAGTTGTATTAGTAACCTAAGCAAACCATTATCATAGTTTGTCATAACTACAATCTTTCCTTACCATAACCATTCCGCAGAGATAATGTGGAAAGCGAAAATGTAAAAAAATTTGGCATTAGATGTTAAAAACCATCGGCTTTGAATGTAATCTATGTCATTTGATTAATATCAGCGTTCTTGTCTGCCAATCATATTGTCTGCTTACTGTTGTGCACAAAGAGCTGACCATGGTCAAACTAGGACAAAGAAGACCAAACATTTTTGATGCTAGTCTTTTTGTCGGGAGGTTCTGAGGCATCCCAGAGGCTGCTGTTGCGGCCATGGCTCATTTTTATTTGCCCCCATGGAAGGTAAAAGGAGTTATTTGTGTTTAAATATTTTTTTAAAATACTTCTAATAAATTGATATAAATTAAATTATTAAAATAAGTAGCCCCTCAATGTAACTGTCTAAAAATCCCCTTTTTTTAAAAAAAAATATATAAAAATTTTTTTGGGGGGGGAAAAGGAAAAAAAAAAACGCCCCCAAGGGAAGGGGGATTAGGTTGGACCAGTATCAGGTTAACCATCCAGGAGTCTGTTTAGGAATGGCTAGAGCCAATTATTGAAAACGACAGACAACAATTGAGAGGAGTTATGTTTACCATTTATCCAAAGACAACTAAAAGCAACAATCCAATTCTTATGCACTCTAAGGAAGTGTGGGCCAAGGTACACAAAATGTATAAGATGCCACAATATGTACAGATATATGCTTCATTGTGGTTTAATCCTGCCATACATATTGGAAAAACGTCAGTGTATTGGAGGCAGTGGTGTTCAAGTGGTGTATGTACTATAGGAGACCTGTACAAAAATGGACAATTCATGTCTTATCTCATCAATTTAAACTTGAAGGCAAACAACATTTTTGGAAATACTTACAAATCAGGGACTGTGTAAAATCTCGACTTGGTAATTGTTCAGAAAATGATATTTTGGAATATCTGAATGCGCCACAGGAACGCTGCACGGCCTCACAATTTTATAGACTAACGAACTATTCAGTAAGTGGTGAGTCCTCTAATGTGAAATTGTTATGGCAGAGAGACCTGAAAATAACCTTTACACAGGAGAAATGGTTGGGGGTACTAGCAGACTGTGGAAAGTATGTAAGGGAAGCAAGAGGGAAGTTCCCACAATATAAGATGTTGTTGTTGTGCACCTGTCTGTCTGTCTGTCTGTCTGTCTGTCTGTCTGTCTGTCTCTCTCTCTCTCTCTCTCTCTCTCACACCCCAACTGGTCGAGACAGACGACCACCCACCTAGAGCCGAAGGATCTGTCCTAGGTTTCTGCCTTTTAACAGGCAGTTTTTCCTTGCCCTTGTCGCCAAGTGCTTGCTCATGGTGGTACTGTTCTCTGTAATTAATGTTTTAAAGAGTTTGGTCTAGACCTGCTCTAATTGAAAAGTGTCCTGAGATAACTTCTGTTATGAATTGGCGCTATACAAATAAAACTGAATTGAATTGAATTGAATAAGATCATGCATAGATATTATCATACCCCTGTGAGATTACATAGAATGAAATTGATGAATGATAGTATGTGTTGGAAGTGTAAAACAGAGGTAGGAACTTTTCTTCACTGTATATGGGAATGTGCATTAGTGAGTCAATTTTGGTTTAAAGTGGTGGACTTCCTGAGTAACTGGTCAGGTTCAGTGATTCCCCTGACTCCTGCTGTATGTTTACTAGGGGACAGATCACAAATGCCGAATATATCAAGAAGAACTTTCTCTGTTATTATGGTGGGCTTGGTCACAGCTTCCAGAGTTATCTTAAGACACTGTAAAACTGCTGTATCTCCTAATCTGAAAGACTGGACTAATGCAATGGTGGACACAGCATCTTATGAGTCTATGCTTCACAAACTGTCGGCTAACAAGGAAGATGGGATGACCTCTTGGGATCTTTTTTGGACCTACACAAGGACTAATGGAAACTCAGCCTAAGAAATCAGAGTCTGAATACAGCAAAGCTTCTTTGTCCTTCTGTACAGTGGATTTCCCCCTTATATTTCTTGCTTTATTTTTCAAGTTTTAATTTTCCTCTCTGACATGTCATATGTTTATGCCAAAATTACAAAATGTATGACCAACCCTGTACTCTTCTACTTTGTTGTTAAGAATTCAATAAAAATTGAAATGAAAAAACAAAAACAAAATTGGATATAAATGCAGTCACTGGAAGCTCTGGAACTAGTTTAAAACTGATGAGTAAAAGGACATGATGGTTTTAGTTCAGAAATTAGAAACACTGGTGTAGTATATTTAAGTCAAATGTACCCAACATTTATGGGGAGCTACTAACCGGCCCACAGCTGTGCAGATCCTCCATATTTCTGCATATTGTCGAATGAACAAGTTATTTCCTGGCAGCGTTTGGAATGTATTAAGGATGAGTGAGTGGAGGCCGTCACTGGTGCCTTTGTGTGGAAGTGGTTCATGTGTGTATTCCTTTTAAGACATCTATTCCAGGATGCATTTGTGTGGTTACAGCTTTTTTTTTTTTTGCACTGCAGTCCATTTCACATGGCTGGTTGTTCTCTTTATGTGGTACACTTGGTTTAGCTTGGTGGTTTTTTTCATGCTCCCTGGCAGGGATATTCACTGTCTCTGGGGCCGTCCCATTGAATTGTGGGTCAGACAAAACAGGACTGGGCCACTTCTGTTATAAAGCCCTGTTGGGCAAGGCCCAGTGCCATCGGATGGCTGGAAAATCAGTATCTCTTGCGGTGCTCAGAAGGGCCAGATGGACACACTGCAAAAAGATTGCAAACCTAGCATGTGATTTTACTTTGTGCTCAGATTCATTTCAGACATATTATGTAATAATTTTGATCTCCTGAAATGACCACAGGTTATCTGCTGGTGTTCATAGTAGTAGTCAATATCAATAATTCATTTTGGGCTGATGCTGGAGGTGGTTTCTGTAAGAATCTCGAGCCATTTGAAGAATTTCCATTGCCTTACTTACTTAATAGTTTACAGCTTGCTCCAGCTTATTCCCTTATATTTGCTTCAATATGACTATGTGTTATCTTTTCCAGATCTAGCTGCAATTGACTATTATTTTTATTTTGGATTTATCTGCTATTTAGTTCTCAATTAACTGATTGGTGATTTAGTCCATGAAATGTCAGAGATAATGAAAAAATGCCCAAATCTATTCTAAATATCCACGATTATATATTTCAGATTGCTTGTTTTGTCCGACCAACAGTCCAAAACCCAAATATATTAAATTTACCACCACATCACAGACAATACCGGCAGGTTTCCATGAGAATTATTTTCTTGTCTCATAAAGAGTTTTCAAAAGTCATATTAACATATAGTAAGTGAAATCTAATAAAATGTAAAATATGATCTGCCAGTGCAGTAAGATTCTCAGAGTAAACATAAGAAGAAAGGTTAAGTCACTCACATTTTTTGCAGTGCATGAAGCGATTTCCTCTGTCCCCCCTTGGGATTTGCTGGGGGCCGCCCTAGAAGCTGTGTCTTCTCCCTACAAACTTTTGCAGCATCTGCGTCTGGACGTCATGAACAGAGCCATCAGTAAGCCAACAGTCCCTCAGGCGCTGGGGCGGCTGAGGGTCATTCATTCTGCCCCACGATACTCCAAACTTCAGCTCTTCTATGTCACAAGCGACCCCCTCCCCACCACTTCTTGGAGCGCTTCCAGCCTTCAGGCAAGGAGCCTGTGATGAGAGGAGGAAAGAAAGGGGGGAGGAGGATGAGTGGGTTGGATGGATATGCTGGCTCTGATCCAGACGTTAGCACTGGAGGGGGAGGAGGAGTGATACTGTGTTTGTTTCTAACCCTCTGTTCAGAGAGGCACAGTGAATGGATGGAAAGTCAATGGAGGGCGGTCATTGCTGGAGATGGACACAGTTTTACTGCAGGCAGCAGGAATTCAGGCAGAGGTGTTCATACTATATATATCCTCACATGTAAACACAGCTACAACTTATTACATATGGTATGTGAATTTGGTATGGACCTTTTTCAGAGCAGCCATTTTGACATGAAATAATAGTAATAATCAAACTGGCTGCTGTGAAAAAGGTCTATTGCTTTTACTTACAAACAATATGTTTGATTACACACCCTTTAAAATGAACCAACCTTGTGCTAATATATATATATATATATATATTATATTTGAAGATCCAGTGTTTAACATTTAGGAGGATCTATCGTCAGAAATGGAATATAATACTGATTGAATTGGTCCGCCATGTTTTACCGCCATGTTTCTACAGTATCCCAGAATGAACAAACCCAACACGGGCTAGATAGGGCCTTTTTGTGTTTTTGAGTTTTGTGGCAACTGTTGTTTCTCCTAGCGGTGTACATGAGTCCTGTGACTGTTTTATGTTAGACCATCTAGCCATTAACCAAGTCGCAGTGATGGTAGCATGGGTAGTAGGATTGACGTTAGGCAGGGTCCCCAAGTTACTGATGAAGGTTCCTTATATGGTCAGTGATCGTAGCGTTATTAAAATTTTACATATTAGTTAGACATTTGTTAGAACAACAGCCAGACATAGAGAAAAAACAGACCACTGTGAAATAACAGTGTCACTAGATCCTACACACTGGTCCTTAATATGGTAATAAGTTTTATAGAAGACCATGTCAAACTCTACACATAACCTTGTTTTTTGTTTGTTTTACTTGGTTTCTTCACTCTTTGTGTTTAACTGTCTTTAACTGGAGAAAATTTGTTTTCACTGGACAGTGCTTACCATGGAACATTTAAACATGTCTCACCTCTAGCCAATCAGTGTTGTTAAATGTGGAATTTTCTTTCTTGACAGCTGAAAACACACACAACAGTCTGATTGTGGCGTTACCAAAGTTGCAGTTACAGAAGTCAGTATTGCAGTGGCATATTATGTAGGGGAAGCTTCATTTACCATTTTACCTTTGTAATTACAGTGTTGGCTGAATCAAATATAATTTCTGTAAAACCACATATTTGTGGTTTTAATTCCTACAATATCTACCTTTTAAACAATAAATAACCATGTGAAAAAAGACCATGTGATCTGGTTCAAAGCAAGTAAGTGGACCTTGAGTTGTTGTTTCTTAATTTTTTTTTGTTTGTTTGCTTTCTACTTTAAAATGGACTTTAATGGATTGGCTTGTTTTGAAAATATTTTAATATGCTAAATATGACACCATGACACCACCATTTATCGCCTTTCCTCCTACTTAGATAAAAAAAGCCTTCTTTCACGTTCTCTGTAAGAGATACAGCATTATTATGCTATTTACAATGTAGCAAAGGCACACGCAATTCCTTTCAACTACAGGTGTTTGCATGATGTTTTTTTCTCTCAAGGCTGTATTCCAAATAAATGGCCGCCTTCATATTGTGCTACGTGAGAATGCCGAGATATCTGTGTTGTTTCATGAAAGAAGCAGAAGCTTTCAGCATGCAGACGCAGATCTCTGAAGGGCCATCAAAAGGAAGGATGAGAAGCAGGACAAAAATGGGATAAAATTGCTGTGTTGCTCTTGGTGCCAGAGAAACAACAACAACAACAACAACAACAAAAATCTCCATGGTCTTATAAAGAAGAATAAATCAACATGATGGCAAATGGTTGAGCCACATTGCTCTCATTTTCTTGTTTTATTCACCCTCCGTCTGTCTCTGCTGGTGAGCTCCACCTACGTACTGCAGAGACAAATGAAAGGAAGAGAGGGAGAAAGGGATAGAGAGACATCTGTTGGCTCCTATTGTGTCTAGATGATTGCCCCCTCACTACCGCCAACACACTCACACAAAACCCCACACAATGCACACACAGTGTTCATGTCTTTACGTGAAGTCTGGAGAGCTGAACTGGCACTGTTGCAGTCATATGTGCACTCTTCACAGAGACACTCCCAGGGTAACGCTCCTGTAAAACCAGAGCCAGCAAAACAAAAATAATAAATGCCTGTTTGTGGTGTTTGTGCTTAAACCATGTACATTAAACCATATACAACCATGTGTTAAATCACACATTTAATCTACTTACTGCTAAGAGATAGACAATTTTCACAGCAGCCATTTTGACACAAAATGGTAGGGTAAACACAGATTTGGCCAATGATACTAATTAAGGTCAAGTTCCATTCAGGTCTAACAGAGTCAGGGTGCTGCTATAGTGCATGTTGGCTCACTGGAAAGGATCACTAAATGGAACTGTATCTTAGGGTGTTTTCACACATACCTCATTTGGTCCGAACCTTCAGACTTTTCAGTTTGGTCCGGACCAGAATTGTAGGTGAAAAAGGTGCCATGGACCACGGTCCGGATCAAAAGACCAAAATTTGGTCTGAACTAAAGGGGTGGTCTCGGTCCGGATCAAACTGAACCATGGTTCGGTTCGTTTACAGTATGAAAACACTTTTTGGATGGTTCAGACTTTCGGACCAATTACAGGAAGTTAGGTACCATAGAAGAAGAAGAAAAAACCCGGAAGAAAACCCCCGCCAGAACCAGCAAAAATGTGTCGTGGAAATACGTGGGGAGAGGAGGAGATTATGTGTTTAATTTCAATTTGGTCAGACGAAAACATTTAATGTCAGTTAGAAAACAATGCCGACTTTTACAAAACATTTTCTGAGCGGATGAAAGAGAGGGTACTTATTTTGCACTACGAGAACGTACATTTCTCTCGAGTATTGTGCTTGCAGTTGGTGCTGACGTTGTTGCTGCTGGTTGTAATACCATAATAACGCAATCGGGATTTGCTCATTCATTTTCATTCATACGGATAAGACTACCCGCCAAAATGACAACACGCCAACGTCAGACGCACGCCCGTCTACTCACCAATCAAAGGGAGACGCAACACACGTAGGAGGTGACGACACGCCGTAGGTATGTCATGGAAAGTTCTTTAGTGCGCTAGCAAAATTACTATGTGAAACCGAAAATAACGGGACCAAATGTATACAATGTAATTAAACACGAACCTTGGTCCGGACTTTTAGGTGTGAAAACGCCCTTAATCTGTATCATTGATAGCACCTGTGTTTACCCTACTATTTCATGTCAAAATGTCTGCTGTGTCAAAGATCTATTTCCACAATTAGTGAATTCTAAAAATCAGAAGTACAGGAAGCTATTGTATTAGCTGTGTCGCACAATCCAGTTTTATATAGTGCTGCTCTGCCGAAGTACAGACTGCACAGAAGAGGAACAGTTTGCAGTCAGTCATGAGACAGGAGTGGATAGTTAAATAGGTCTTGAATTAACTTATTGTGCAGTTAGCGAACAGGCTAGCTAACTGGCTAGTTGGCAGCTAGTTTTAGCGGGCTATTGAGATTGCCAAAGTTAGGTATTCAAGGATCTTCCGAACCCTAGGACTGAACATGGAACCCATGAGTTTAAATGCATGTTTTATATCATCAGTCGTGTTCAGATCCCTTTTTATTACAGCAGGTCTGTTTAACATTAACAGGATAGTATGGAAAGTACGGACCGGGGAAGTGCATGTGGCCATGCAGTTGAAGTTATCAAGGTAGATGCTAGATGTAACAAAACTGCAAATCTGATTCTAAATGAGTTGCGTTCGTAATCCATCACCATGACAACAAGTCGACTTTTAAGCTAAAATAACGAGTGGAGTAGCCATGCTGTTTTAATCAACAAGAGAGTAATAACAGAAAACCTGGATGTAACTAAGAGACGTTTCATTATAGGTAAGACACATTGTCTAAACTTGTATAACACCAATCAGCTGAGAAATTAGTGCGACTGGGTCCGTGTCTTGCAGACAGATTCGAGTCTGACATTGGCTGTGCATGGGTCCAGCTGTCAAATAATAGACGAGTCCATTGTGGTTGTGGGTGGTACATTTCCATTGTTACTGGCTAGCTAGCATGTCAATAGTTAGCTCACTGGTTGTTTTACCTTGCAAACTAGCGCTCAAGTAGTCAGCACTTTATTTTGCATTGACGCTCTAATTCATTTTGCTGTTCCAGTTTTGACACTTACATTGCCCCAGCTTTAAAAGGAATAAAACAAACAACAACAAAAAATACAAAAACAAATCAAAAAGTTTAAAATAAAAACAATGCACAACGAGAATTGTCAAGTATGCATAAATGAGCATTTTCTCATAGAAATTGACTTCAAAAGTCCTATCATCAAATGCCTGGCTCAAATATGGACTTACAGTTCAAAATGGCTCCTCTGTTGGGGAAGAGGTATTGTCTGCTCCTCTTAATCTTGCTGTTGCTTACTAATGCTTACACTATCAGTTTTACTGGATAGTATACATCAACAATTTAATATATTATAAAAGTCTTGATCTATAGAATTTAAATAAATTAATGAGAATTAGAATAAATTAATAATTAGGACTTAAGAAACCTGTGATAGTAAACTATGTGTAAACATTTTTTCCCCCATGGATTTAATACACTAATAGAATAATGGGTGAGGTAGCACAAGATAAGTAGACTCTTGAAAGGTGTCAGACATGTAGCTAATTTAGTTAGCACTGGGTTATTATGCTGTGCTTTTGGGTAACGAAAAGGCTGACATTTGCACATCACTGTGCCATATGGTGGCACTGGCCCTGATCAAGGCCACATACTGGCACCAGTCCCTTTCCTGTAGCACTGCCACTGCCCGCTTGAACATCGTTTGTGTTGTTAGCGACTGTACTCTTCCCCTTCTCCCTCTCTCCTCCTCTGAAGACCAGAAACCACTAGATACATCCTGACATTTTCCTTTTCACACTCCATTGAATTAAACATCCCCTCTTTTAAATCTCTGAATTGAATCTTATCTTAACAAGGCAGGTATCCAGACAGATACTGGCTGCAAATTTGGTGCAGTGTAGTGTTTGAGAGGTATGCAGATATTTTCAAGAAATATTTTTAAAACTTCTGTTGGTGTGAAAGTTGTTTTAAAGCTTAGTCCATGCGGAATGGGGTCTGAATGAAAACAATTGACAGTCTTGAGATTTTATGGGATCTAAATGATTATCAATTATACTTTAGTAGAAGTCTGTTTCAACCAAAAATCATCATACACCCATTCTTTATAATGCTAGTTAAATGCTCAGACATTGTAGCTGTACCATCTTCGGTTTGGAATTGTCAAGACGAGCATGATTTTTGACACAAATAGTCTGGAAGTCATCCTGGTCCAGTATGTAACTTGTACAGTGTGATGTAGAAACTTGAAGCCACCAGTGCACATCCACTGAGAATGGACTTTACAGTGAAGTAGGAGACATCTTGTGTCCAGCAGGAAAACTTTAGAAATCAACAACATTTGTATATTCTGAGATTCTGGAGGTTTTAATGAGGTAGAAGGAGGAGATGTCTTTTTAAGAATTTTAATGTTGGAATTGTACTATTTTTTGCAGAAAAACATATCAGACACACATTTTTGTTCCAAGCAGACTATTTGTATTATGTCTGGAGACATAACAAAGATATAACAAGAGGACTACTAGGCACTGTTTCCTGGTACTCTAGCCCCACTAGCATGGTACGTAAATCATTAAAAGGGCTGCCCAAAGTAGTTGCCTAGCTTAATTAAGTTTCATACATGAATTTTTTATTTTAGTTTATTGATTTCCCCCAGTTAAAATGTTAAATTATTTTCTACCACCACTACTATAACACTTATTTGTATTTCACCATATTTGATGTTGAAGCTACCATATGAATGCTCCGAATGTATAAAGCCTTCCCATACAGTACACACTATATTATATGTTCCTGCAAATGCTTTTATGAAAAGCCTTGGGATTTCTTGGCCTAAACTGTAGGAATATTTCCTAACACAGCGCCATATTTTACGTGGAGAACAAAGTGTACTCGCTGGTCTGGCAAACAGACTCAAACATAGAGAGACAAAAGGAAACCCCAGCCTAGTTGGAAAAAGAGGCGTGAAAATGAGCATGCTGGCGGGCTTAGCGGCAAGTTACATGCATCGCTCTCAGGGTCGACCCAGCTTGGCTTATCATAAAAGGCTTCCTCTGAGACATCCTCTTGGAGGATATCAAAGACCTGCTGTGGTAGAGATCCAACTTGAGAAAGATCAAATGGAAATAAAGAACCTTCACCTTCCTTCAGTCCTTCAGTATCTGGCATAGCCAGTCTGGATGATGAATACTACAGTACACTGTTGGCAAAAGAAGCCCTTTTCCCATGAAAGGTGAAGAGAGATTGGGAGAGTAGTTTCTCTTACGTTATTCTTTCCTCTAAAGGCTGCCAGGCATCACCTACAGCCCTAGTGTTACTGTGCAGAGCTGAGTACTCTCATTTACCATATAAATATATGAATGATCTCTTGTAGGTTACTCTCCTCACACACTATAAAATATTGCCATATGATGGGATAAACATTAATTTATATTTTATATAACAAACGTACTGAGGTGGTGATATATATATATATATATTTGAAAGGTAGCCTGTATGAGAATCTTGAAATTTTATAATTATAATAATGATATATCTAAATGTTTCTATATAATATTACATTATTGTATTATGAGTAGCATAAAGGGGAGCTACAGCATGAATTTTATCATACAACCCTGCGTTGCAAATATTTAAATAACCTTGTACTCTTCATTTATATAGCACTTTTCTTCACAATGTTACAAAATGGTTTTCAAAGGAAAAGTAAAACCACTGAAGACAGTTAAAATAGTATATATTATATATATATAATAAGATTATGGAACATGAGCACAGAGAGAGTAAAACAATAAAGTGGGTAAGAACACATAAATAAGAGTAAACAAAAAAACAAAAACATATATGTATATGTATAACATATTTGTGTAGGCCTTAATATTTCCATAATGGAGCATGGATTCTTGTTTCAACTACAAATGACGGCGCAGCCTTTAAAAAATTGAAGTTCTGGAGCTGTAAGTCTCAATTCTGTGATTGAGTAAGTCACTCTGAATCAGATCAGTTATCATTTAGAAGAAGGAGAACTATAAGTTTATCTTTTTGGCTTTAATGTTACAGTTCACACAAACCTCCAGTAATTTGGTCTAACCTTTCCTCCAGAAAATCACCCAAAATATGAACAAGACTAGGTTGATACCAATCACAGTGTTTCTACAGTAGCCCAGAACAGACAAACCAAACACTGTCACTAGATAGGGGCATTCACGTTTTTATCGTGTTTCTCAGCCACCGTAGTTTCTTCTCTATATTTGGAAGGGGAGGGTGAAGCAACTGAGGTGCAATCTGCAGCTACACTGCTAGATGTCACCAAAGCCTGTACACTCACAAAGTGAATGCTGTTAGAGCATGAAGTGTATATTTAGAAAATTAAGATATAAAAATCTCATGAGAAAATAAAAAGAGCTGTAATTCACACTTCAAAATAGATGCCCCTACACACACAAACATACGCATTAAGGCAGAAGAGACTCAGTGAGCTAGGAGCCATGTGGGGATTGTATATGAACTCTACAGTCTAAGCAGACAAGGCCCGAAGCAGCATATGGTTAGAATCTGTGCCGAATCCATGCCATTTCGGCCTTCTCTTTTTTTTTTCTTTTTTCCTCTGCATGAGGTGGACTCAGCAGCAAGCCGTGTGTGTGAGGACACACACACATACACGCACAAGGGACAGAAAAAGTCCCACAAATACATACACACAGTAATGCTCAGATTTTACACACTGAAACACACATAATAACACTGTTGTTTCTGCTGTGAATGAACATGTGCCTGCTAACACGCTACCACACTTGGGTACAGATACTGTAAATTACATACACACACACACACACATAGAACAGAGCCATTAATGTTGCCCCCCTACCGTGCTGAGCCACAGCAGGCGGCGTCTCTGCGAGGACTGGAGGAGGATACAAATGACATCAGTGTGTATTGAACAAACACTCATCAGTCTGTTAATGCTAAGGAGACCAGGCCCCGGGGGTTCTGGTGGAGGTGAAGCTACTTATGAGGACCCTGCAGACAGGCTACCAATAGAAGCAAACATCCACTCGTAAACAGCCACCCACAGACAGGGGACGTCTGATACCACAGGACAGCTTGTTGTAGGCATCGCCGTGGGCGGAGGAGAGAAAAAGTGTGATGCAGCAATCAACACTTATCCCAGAATTATAGTTATAATTAGTTTTGCATATTGCAAATGACTCATCTCATCGAAACAAAATTTTCATGGGCTCTTCAAAATATTTTTGAACACTGGCAACATCTATAGCAAAGGCAGCTGACATGCATTGTAGCTCTGCAGTGAGGAGGAACCCACAGAGCTGCCCTCATACATAATTCCATACAATGATTAAGTAGCAACATCCTCCCCGAAATCCCCTCACAGCATGAGCAGGAAGAGAGGTTTTCCTTCACTGACATATGAATTATTTTCCTCCCATAGCACTTACCATAAATTATGCCTGCTTAACTTAGGGAATGAGTTATTAGGAGAGTCTTTTTGAAACGGGAGACTTCCTAGAAAATTTCAAACCGTCATCAATGGTTTATGAATACATAGCCAAACAATAGCTACTAAACTAACTTTTCAGCAGCAAGTAGATACTTTGTTCTGATTGCCAAACAGCATGTAAGTGGTCATTATATGTCCATTTCCATCAGCCTGCAATTTCAATTTGTGCATGGAGTGGAGCTGCCAGAAATTTGAAAAAACTGCCTCCAGTAAATATGACAAAATAAGGAAAAATGGTAAACAAAGAAACAAAGAGGAAGAGCAAAATACACCATTATCTGTACCTATTTAGCCAACTAAATTATCTGTATTTGTACCTGTACTCAGAAAGGGTGGGGCTTAAAGCAGACATATGAACAAAAGTAGACCATCATTTCTAACAAGCAAAACAAAATAGCAGTACCAAAATAAATATACATATACAACTTCCTTCCAAAAATCCATTTATTTACTACATTCCCAAATAGAATGATACAGGGTTCCTTTATGTTCAGTACACTCGCTGCACATGTGTCTAGTATATTGTTGTCAAAGTGGTTTAATTTTACTGGTGTTGCATATATACACATTAACCAGTTCTACTGTAATAGTAATAGTAATAGACAGGTATTTACAGAATTCTGTGCACCTTCACAAACTGTGTTCCAATCCGCTATCATTATTTCCTCGTTCAAATTTTTCCTCCATGCTTCTAACTTTCCCTCTGAAGACACATTGCTAAAACTCAGCATTGCCCAAGTTTGGACTGGAATGTGATAATGTCTGAGAAATGTTTAAATGTTTGTGAATGTAATACCACACATTTATCATATTCAGTACAATAAGAATATTTTGTTGCTTCCCTCAGCGCTTTCACTTTGTATGAGTACATGTACAGATGCAGTGGTAGGTCTGGTTTAGTAGAGCCTGTCTCTAAATCAACCCAGTTGTAAAGTAGTTTGATCCATTTGCAAATTTCTTCCCCATCTTGAAAGTGTCTCAAATAGATAGGGCCATTCAACCCTATCAGAGGCCTTTTCTGCATCTAAGGCCAAAAGTGCAGTATCACAAACATCCTTCTGAATATGCAAGATGTTCATTAAATGGACCTGTACTTGTATAGCTCCTTTCTATTCTTCCGACCACTCAAAGCACATGCCACATTCACCTTTCAAGCACATTGACGGCAGAGTCCATCGAACAGAAAGTCATTCATACACATTCACACACCGATGAGTGTGCAATTTGGGGTTCAGTATCTTGCTCAAGGATTCTGCCAGGGATCGAACCAACAACCTTCCGATTAGTGGATGACCTGCTCTACCTCTGAGCCCAATCCATTCTGGTCCTCACCTATTATGCCAGGGAGTATCATCTCTAGCTGCCTTGCTAGCGCCTTACTAAGAATTTTTGTGTCAGAATTTAGCAGACTAATTGGACGCATATTCTCACATATGGTATTAGGTTTTCCAGGTTTTGGTAGGAGAGTTATCAGTGCCTTTCCTTTAATTTCTTATAGATGTCTTTGGGAGGCCATCAGTGCCTGCAGCTTTTCCTACTTTCATAGAGTCTAAAGCTTCTGAGTCAAGCTCAAGTCTATGTCTAAATCTAATGAACTTTTTTCTGATATGCTTGGAATATATTATCGAGGAATTAGTTTTGTTCATCCAAATTTGGAGAGCATTCACTAGAATATAATTTTTCATAGACGCATTTGAGTGCATTATTAATTTCTGTAGGATCAACAATAGTCTTACCTTTATCATTCTCTATATAGTTGATAGCCCTCTCTGATTGCTGTTGCTTAATACGCCATGCTAAGTTTTAGTAGGCATGATGCAGCTGTATCTGCTGATATTGTATTGTATTGTGTTCTCAGTAAAAGCAGTTGCTGTTGTTTTATTGTGTTTCTACACTGGTTTTGGAATAGGCCCTCTTCTAGGCTTTCAATTTGAGATTCAAGAGACTTCATTTTATGCTTAGCTGCTCTGGATTTTGTGCTAGTGAAACTTATAATTTATCCCCTAATAAAAGCCTTAAAAGCCTCCCATCAAATTGTATTTGAAAGAAGAAGTCAATTTGTTGACCTACACTTCTGTAAAAGCCATCTCTGCTGGAACCTCCATTTAGTTTTTTTGTTGTTTTTTTTGGAGGGGGGGTCACTAATGGACTTAAAATCAATACATATAAGGGAGACTGCTACATGGTCTGAAGTGACAAAACTATTATATTGACATTCTTCAATTTTAGAAATAATAATCAATACGAGAATATGTGTGGTGTGTGTTTGAATGGCAAGAGTATGATAGCATAGTATATGGTGTAGGAATCTCCAAATGTCTTCAAGGTCTCGTTCCCAAATAAACTGATGGATTATTTTTCCTTTAAGAAATAAATTGCTGAGAAACTTAGGGTTAGGGTTGTTATTATTATTGTTATTTTTCCTGTAGTAGAATACCTTGGGCTTTGAGGCATCTTTCTCCTGGGTCTTTGATTACATTTCGATTTGTAGAGGAATAGATTTATGGATGAGAGTTAAGATGCCTATAGCCTGAGAAGAGTAGGATGTGAAAAGTACCTGTCCTGGCCATCTACTTCTAACCTTTATAATGTCACTTGCAAGCTTATGAGTTTCTTGAAGAAACACAATTTTAGCCTGGAGTTGCTTTATACGATTAAAAGATTCAGAAAGAAAACTTTTTACAGAACAGTGCAGTGTTTTTGATCAAGTTTGTTTTATAACAGTTGCTATATTACCAATAGTACCAATACCGACACATTTTACTTATTATTACATAATAATAATAATAATAATAATAATAAAATCAAATATAAAAAGTGTGGATGTTTAGGGATGTATGTAACCAATGTTCCCAATACTGGTTTAAACCTTGTTGCATATCACCCCTCTTTATCACCATAGCAGTTGATTCAAACACTGGAATCTAAGGTTTGTGGATATCAGACAGGTATAAAGTAAATGTGCCCATTGACATGGGCATCAGAAGCACTTTAAAATCTGGATAGGGAGCCAATTAATCTTTCAATACACTTTTCAAGTAGAGCATGTCTAGACCGTACTCCTTACATAATTATTTTAAACTGTTCCCACCATGGGCCAGCACTAGGTGGGCAGCCGTCTGCCTCGACCGGTTTGGGTTAGAGAGACGGTGGTCTGGCTGAATACTCCATTCTTGCAGGGTGTCCATTAATTCCTGACATAGGACACCTACTAAGTAGCTTTGGATGAAATGTAACAGTTCACTGTTCTAAATTAAAAAATTGAACAGTAAACATGAAAATCTTGATATTGATTTGGGGACTGCGACATGGCTGGATAGCTAACTATACATACAGGGTACAGTTGGATCAGAAGAGACGCATTTAATAATTGAAAGTACCCTGTGGAGATTTATGTTTTGCCTCAAGCGGCTTCACAATCTGTAGAGCACTGGTTCCAAACCTAGAGGTTGCAAAAGCTTCATGGGAGGTTGCAAGGCCTTCTTGATTTAAAGGAGTCAGTGAAAAGAAAACACTGATTTTTTCACAAAAGTGATTATTAAGTATGTATGATTATTAAAAAATGCATAATACAGACAGAGAATTGTACAAAATGTTCCTAAAAATGTCAGGATATCTTTATTAATATTCACAGGAAATATTTAAAATAATCCATCCAAATCTCTCGTTTTAATTCAATTTCAATTCAATTCAATTCAATTCAATTTTATTTGTATAGCGCCAATTCATAACAGAAGTTATCTCAGGACACTTTTCAAATAGAGCAGGTCTAGACCGAACTCCTTATAACATTTACAGAGACCCAACAGTACCACCATGAGCAAGACCTTGACGACGGGGGCAAGGAAAAACTGCCTGTTAAAAGGACAGATCCTTCGGCTCTAGGTGGGTGGTCGTCTGCCTCGACCAGTTGTGGTGAGCGAGAGAGAGAGAGAGAGAGAAAAGAGAAAAAAAAAAAGACAGAGACAGACAGACAGACAGACAGACAGACAGACAGACAGACAGTTGCACAGCAACAACAGTAGCAACAACTACACTAATAGTAGTGACTGATGATGATGAACATGACAACAGCAACGATGGGGGACAATGAGCAGTGACAACAGCAACAACAGTAACCGTAGCTATAATAATACTTATAATAATAATAACACTAATATCAGTGATATTGGCAATGGCAGTCAAGCAGGACCATGGCAGGAGGCTCCACCAGGATCCATGAGAACCTGCGAGATGAGAAAGCACAAGAACTCCGGGGAAGAAGTGAAGTTAGTAACATGCATTAATGGGACATGAATGAGTGCAGAAAGAGAGAGGAAGAGAGGAGCTCAGTGCACCATGGGAAATACCCCAATAGTCTAGGCCTATAGCAGCATAACTAAGGGATGGTTCAGGACTCACCTGATCCAGCCCTAACTATAAGCT